GTTGGCATTTGTGCTGCAGCCGATTTCTAGCAGATTGATCTCCTTCGAGGGATTTTTGAAATTCAGAGAGGTTGCTGAAGAGATCCCTTTTAATGCCCACCGTGGATTCATTATACATTTCAGTTAATCTGAATAAAAAAGCAGGGAATAATTTCTTAAATTATTTTATTCCAACTTAAGTAAGTAAATAGAAAACTCAAGAAGGTATAGGATCATCTGCAATGTTAAAAAGAGCAACAGACTCTGATGGTTCCTGTTTTCAGAAATTAGTCCGACTGGTTACTGTTCTGCTGGCAGCTTTGGAATCTTGAGCACATATCTGTCTGTGTAGGATATAGGGATCGAACGATATTGATTTTTTTTTAGAGCCGATACCGATATTCTGTGAACTTTCAGGCCGATAGCCGATATAATTTGCCGATATTTTGTACATTTACCATTTTAGAAAATAAAAACTATTTCTAATGGTAAATGCACAAAATATACATGCCACGTGTAGTGGATGCAGTGTGTTTAGACAGGGGAGCTGTATGTGTTTGTGTTGTGTGTGTAGTGGATGCAGTGTGTGTTTGTGTAGTGTGTGTAGTGGATGCAGTGTGTGTTTGTGTAGTGTGTGCAGTGTGTATTTGTCTAGTGTGTAGTGGATGCAGTGTGTATTAGTCTAGTGTGTAGTGGATGCAGTGTGTATTAGTGTAGTGTGTATATAATGAAAGCAGAGTGTTTGTGTAGTGTGTGGGTAGTGTGCGTAAAGTGAATGCAGTATATACTAAATGCAAAGTGTGTGTGTTTGTGTAGTGTATATAATGAATGTAGTGTGTTTATAAAATGCATAGTGTGTGTATATAATGCAGTGTGTTTGTGTAGTGTGCATTATATAAACACACTAGGCAAACACACTGCATTAATTATATACACACACTAAACACACTGCATTAAATACGCACACTACACACACACTGCATTATACACACACACTACACAAACTGCATTGTATACACACACTGCATTATATACACACACTGCATTATATACGCACACTGCACACACACTGCATTATATGCACACACTACACAAACACTGCATTGTATACACACTACACACACACTGCATCATATACACAGTGTGTTTGTGTAGTGTGTGTGTGTGTGTATATAATGCAGAGTGTGTGTTTGTATACTGTGTGTATATAATGCAGTGTGTAGTGTGTGTATATAATGCAGAGTGTGTGTTTGTATAGTGTGTATATAATGCAGTGTGTAGTGTGTGTATATAATGCAGTGTGTTTGTATAGTGTGTGTATATAATGCAGTGTGTTTGTGTAGTGTGCATTATATAAACACTACACAAACACTGCATTATATACACACACTATACAAACACACACTGCATTATATACACAGTGTGTATGTGTATATAATGGTGTGTGTGTGTGAGGGGGGGCATTTTTTATTAAATGATGTTTATATATATATTTAATTATTTATTTTTGTTGTCCCTCCTCCCTGTTTCATACCTGGCCAGGGAGGGTGGACATAGCAGTCCCTGATGGTCCAGTGGTATTGGCTCAGCTCCCCAGTGTAACCCTCGCGGCCAGCGTGGCGCGCGGAGCGTTGCCATGGTAACCCATGGCAACGTTCGGACGGCCGCGGATCTCGCGAGAGTTACACTGGGGAGCTGGAGGAGCTGCTGGGAGGTGAGTAAGCGCTTGCTGCCCGCCCCCCCCAGGACCGCCGGGCTTATAATGAGCCTGGCGGTCCTAGGAGGTATTATCGGCAATATCGGTATCTGAATTGGCCGATACCGAATATCGGTCGATTATATCGATAAAACCGATAATCGGTCGATCCCTAGTAGGATATGCCCACTGTCCATGGGCATCCGCAGGAATTTTTCCAGGGGGGGCATAATTGTAATGACATCCATGCTTGGTCCCTTTTTGACAGTGTCATGAAAGGGAAGGGGCATAGTCATTATCACATAAAGCCAGGGTAAATAGTGTTTTCACAACTATGGTGTAAGGAATACATGTTTGTATTAATGACACTATAGTGTTCCTTTGAGCAAAGTAAAGGAACATTCTAGTCACCATAACAACTTCATCTAAATGAAAATGCTATGATGCCAGGAAGCCCCTGGGTGCTCTCTTTCCTTTAAGGAGTTAAACCGCTCTCAAATGGTTTAACCCCAAAGGCTTCCTCCAGCTCCAGATCTCCAGGTCGCTCAGTGGTATTCAGCTTCTGAAACGGAGTGCCAGGAAGTGCTGATTGACGTCAGGCATAAGTGCTGCAGATTGGCTAGAGTGGTCAGTTGATGATCTAAGCCAATCGTTAGTTCCCAGTTCATAAAAGTGTTTTACTTTTTTTTATTAATGGAGAGCTACTGATTGGCTTAGAGTGCCAGCTGACCGCTCTAGCCAATCAGTGACACCCCTACCGAACGGCACTCTGTGCTTCCCGACACTCAGTAAATAAAAGTGAACACATTAACACTGATATTTTTTTTTTTTTATTGTAGGTCCAAAGTTTCCCTGCCAGGGCCAGGTTCCAAAGCCTTATGATATGGTGTCCAGAATAAAGTGGAAGGATCACTTCATTTGTCCTTCCTGCTCCAATCTCCTTTTCTTCTCCTTCATTTGACACAGTCTTCTTTTTCTTCTGACACTGTCTTCTCTCCTCCTTGGCTCCTTCACCTTTCTGCTACTTTGTGCTTATTTTGCACCCTTTTCCTTGCAGACCCTTCCTGCTCCTTGCTGTCCCTTCCAGCTAATTTCTGCTCCTTTTCCTACTTTACTTTTGTGCTCCTTGCTGCCCCTTCCAGCTCCTTGCTGCCCCTTTCTGCTCCTTAACGTCCCTTCCTGTTCATTTCTGTTCCTCCTTCTACTTTACCTATGTGCTCCTTCGGTCCCTTCCTGCTCCTTGCTGCCCTATCCAGCTCCTTGCTGACCCTTTCTGCTTCTTTCTGACCCTTCCTAGCTCCTGGCTGACCCTTTTTGCTTCTTGCTGACCTTTCCTTACCCTTGCTGACCTTTTCTGACCCTTCCTGCTCATTTCTGTTCCTTCTCCTTTCTGCTACTTCTCTTACTTTACCTTCCTGCCCTTTGCTGACCCTTCCTTAGGCTGTCTCCCCCATCCCTCACTTACCTGATCTATTGGCTGCCTCCCCAATCCACCACTTCCCTGATCTAAAGACTGTTTCTCCCCATGCCCTCACTTTCCTGATCTATAGGCTGCCCCATGCCTCACTTCCCTGATCTATAGGCTGCCCCTCATATGCCTCACCTGATCTATAGGCTGCCTCCCCCCATCCCTCACTTACCTGATCTATAGGCTGTTTCTCCCCATCCCTCACTTTGCTGATCTATATGCTTCCCCATGCCTCCACTCCCTGATCTATGGGCTGCCCCATGCCTCACCTCCCTGATCTAGGCTGCCCCCCCATGCCACACCTCCCTGATCTATAGGCTGCCCCCATGCCTCACTCCCCTGATCTATAGGCTGCCCCCATGCCTCACTCCGCTGATCTATAGGCTGCCCCCATGCCTCACTCCTCTGATCTATAGGCTGCCCCCCATCCCTCACTCCCCTGATCTACAGGCTTCCCCCCACATGCCTCACTTACCTGCCTCACTTACCTGATCTGTAGGCTGCCATACACAGTGCCACCTACTGGCCAGTATTGCACTGTATTTTCAATCTCACATGAAAAATATCAGAACAAGCTGAAAAATCCAGGGGGGCCTTGCCCACCCTTGTCTAACCACAAAGTGAGCTGAATAAGAATACTCAAAGATAAAACCAAATAAAATGATGTGTTTCTTTGTGTGTAGAATGTGTTCTTGTCTCATGAAAAAGACCTTTAATTTGAGATCTTAAACACAAAGTCCAGTAACAGAAATCAACATTTCAAGACTGTTTATAAACACTATTCTGTTTGCATTGAAACTGTGTATTTAATGACAATTTTCTTCCAAAACAGGTGCTTTTTTTTTTTTTTTTAAGCATTGATATATCTATAGCTTGTTTAACACTTTAGTGACACAGCTTTAGTTTGCTAGTTTTGTACGTGTTGACACAGTTTTGGCATTTTTGCTGTGTGTGTTCACCTGAAATTCCCATTTTTCTCATTTATTAATATATATTATACACAAATAATATTATAAAGACAAGAAAAGTTTGAAAGCTGAACTGTCACTGTCTAGGGACTTTGCAGCATTTGCAAAGACCCTTGACAATAACATCTCCACTGGCCGTCCAGTGGCAGGGAAGGGGGGAGTGGCAAGGGTAAGTTTACTAACCTGAACCTGTCCCTAACATGCACTGCTATCCTCTTTCAAGTGGATCTCTTTTGCTCCTGGTGCTTAAAGTGACTGTCACTCCAAACTTACTTTTTTCTTCTATTGTTTCCTCTTCTCTTCCCATCTCAGAATCTGTTCTTTTCTTTATTTCTGATCTAATTATCATCTTTAAAACATAAGATAAATTTGAGATGTATTTGTCTTATGTATTTTCCTACATTTGACTTTCTTTGACCAAAGGAGGATCTTAACTCAGCTCCATTTCCGGTTTCTCCACAGAGAAAGTACTCACCCATCTTCTTGACACGGAATGGAGCTAATTTATACTCCTCCTTTGGTCAAAGAAAGTCAAGTGTTGTGTGTGTGTTAATCTAGTACAAAGCACCAAATTGTATTCAGTTATGTTCTGAGTTCAACAATTGCATTGCAATTTAGCGGTTTATTTAAAAAAAAAAAAAAAAAAACTTTGTATGCTACTGTAATAAAAATTAATAAATTGTGCTCAGATATATCTCTGGTGTACAGTTGACCCTCTTCACGTACCTTTTTCAAGTGTTTGTGAAAGTGCAAGGCTGAATTAATAACCTGCCCACTGTATTAAAGTGAAGAAGGGTCTATGGTGCATTTTGAGGCAGTTTAGTAGGCCACACATTTAAATTACTCCATAAATAAATACCATTTGCAAATGCAGCAACCAAGGAAACTCCCATATGATCTATTTTGAGCTTTATTAAGGTGGCATCCAACACCTATGGGCAAGAGCAAAGGTATAAGAAGAGGGGAACGTGATTAAAAGGGGAGATTAGAGTGGAACGAGTCATTGAAGTGGGAGGTGGGTGATTAGAGGAGAACAAGTGAATGATGGAGAGATTAGAAGGGAACAAGTGATGAATGGGAGAGGAAAGTGGAGAACAATTAAGTGAAGCATGGGGAAAGAAGAGAGGAGCAAGTAATGGAAGGGAGGAATGAGAAGAAGAGAACATTTAGAGGATGGGAGGGCTATGGGTAGAGGAGCGGAAAAGGGGTGAGGAACACATGTATGGAGAGATAAATAAATAGAGGGGAATCGAGAGATACAAACAAGTAGATGGTTATTGTAAACACAGTGCACGTACACACCTGAATACATGCACTGCACATTCATGTAAGTACGCTCCTGAATGCACAAACTGGCACTCAAAAAAAAAAAAAAGGTAATCTCAGATGTGTATATATAAAAAGTGGCAAAATAATGGACCAGGCCGACAAGTCTTTTATGGACAGGGATAACCCACCTTCCTGGTCATGGGGGAGGAGGGGGTCCTGGACCGGGCCACCAAAGCTTTCAGAAGCCCAGGGAATCCATATGTGTAGGCCGCATAATTAAGTGTCAGATTTGAGACAAAGTAGCCATATTTAATAATCTTGTTCAAAATTAGCCATTATCCTGGCCAGACCACTCTCACTTGCCTATATACTGTGTGTTCACTCATCAACACAGCATACAGGCACAGTTTTCTTTTAAAACAATCACAAAGTGATACATTTATTACCCTTTCTGTGCAGAATATGACTCCTGTATTTTTTGAGGTCTGAACATGGAAGCATTCTTAGAATTTCTGCACAGAAGAACATTGTCAGGGTTGTTAATTAAATGGTGAATTTCAGAAATTTTAACCGGATATTGCAAATTAGCTGCGCTGTTCATGAGTGAGTGAGTCATGTTCACTTAAACAAAAAATGCTATGGTATATTTTCTAAGTCTCTGAGGCAAATCCAGAGGGGTTTCCAGACATTGTTACTACTGGCACTTAAAACACTTTTGTAAATTTACAATGGAAAAGTACACAAACATACTCTTAAAACTATTTTTATTCTAAGTTTCTAATGCAAAATAAAATCACTTGGTTGAACAATTCAATGCAAGAAAGTTATTTTAGGCACAAAACAACCAGAACGTTGAACATTGAATGTGTACATACATAAGCCATTTGTTGTTTTTTAGTCTCTCAGTAAATCTAGTGCTCTTGAAAATGTGTGAGAATAATTCTGAAACAGACATCTAAGTATAAGCAGATATGAAGAAAATGCCTTTCAGCTCCTGGCAGAATTCTAATCCCCACCTTCACATCCATTCCCTACCTTCTAGATACCATGCAAAACAAATAGCATAATAAAGAAAGATTATATATAATTTTTTTTTTACATTCTACATTACAGGTTCTCTTATATTTTATTCAATGGGACATTGCCACTAAAACTTTGTGGTGAATGTTTTTGTCCCATTTGCTATGAATTTAGTTCTTGATGTCAGGAGCCTCATACCATGAGTAAAACAAAGTGTAGGAAATATAGCAGAGCTTGTACTCTGACTAGCCGAGGGGACCTGAGCCGAATCCATGTGTCCTGCTTTTCAGGGACTTGCTTAAATTCACAATGCCTCTGAGGAACTTGCTCTAGTGGGAGAATTCCAATTATGTTAACCTGCTGTTGCCAAGGTCAATATATAAATAGATGTCACGTATGTGATTTTCATTAATTTCTTAAAGTATTCCCACACTCAATAATAATTAAAAAGCTTGGCAATTACACATGACATATGCTAGATGTACCAAAATCTCAACAGTTGCAAAATGTTTAATTCAATTTGCCACGGTCATATTCCAAAGTTTTATAAAATTCATTGTTTCAAAAGGTCTCTAAGCCAGGGCTTGAAACATTTGGTTGGAATCTAGGAGCGAGCTAAAAAAGTTAGGAGACAGTCTTTTTTAAACTAACAAAGTTTAATTTGGAATGAGAAAAATGCAATTCTTAAAGGGACGCTATAGTCACCAGAACCACTGCAGCTTAATGTAGTTCTGGTGTTTGTAGCATGCCACTGCAAGCTTTTCAATATAAACATGACCTTTTCAGAGAAAAGACAGTGTTTACAATCCTGGCTTGGGACAACTCTAGACGGCCACTAGAGGTGATTCCTAGATGTGAATGTTCCCCATAGAGATGCATTGATTCAATGTATCTTTATGAGGAGATGTGGATTGGTGGAGCACAGCCTTTTGCTGCACATGCGCAATACCCACCCAAAGCGTTCCAATAGAAAAGCATTGACATAACTGAGATCAGAAAGATGACCTCAGCCATGGAGGCATGGCAAGCTGTGGTGAAACCGTCACGGGGTGGGAAAAAGGGTGAGTAAAAACACCTTTCCCAGGTGATTGGAGGGAGGCAGGTACCTAAACAGACACACACACACATAGACAAACAGACAGATACACACAGAAACAGAAACACACATATTTCTCATAAACTCACTTTTTACTTTAATTTATGTCCAACCAGCCTCCAATGGGGCTGAGTGATGTAATATTCCGGCTACCGGCATCACTAAACAGCGCAAGGGAGCAGAGAGGAGCTACCTCCCAGGCTACCCCAGTGTGGCAGCTGGCTCCCACGCTGCTGCAAATGGTTGCCTGGCTGGCCTCCACGCTGACCTGTGAGGGCTGGTGGCCTTCACTAAAGGGCTGCCATGAAAAAATCCCAGGTGCCAGGACAAAATTTCTAGTTGCCATGGCGATTTGTCGAGCCCTGCTCCAAGCAGTTAGATTAAACGTACTGTTTACCAAATAGTTATTTGCCTTTTTATTTATGAACTTTACTTTCATTTGTCATCTTTATCAGGAAGACATCCACTAGAGGTGTGTTTAACCCTGTAACATAAACTACAAAACAGCAATGTTTTACTTTAAAGGGATAAAACTAGATGGCTACTGCATCCAGACAACCTAATTTTGATGAAGTGGCCTGGGTGTCTTTGGTGGTACTTTACTTGCTAAAGCACCTGTTGCTGACTTTTACCTAATCCACTCCCAAGGATGAAAATCTATCCTGTGTAAGACCTCCTTATTTAAAGGTGGTCTTCTGTTTCCTTGGGGCAGTTACATTTCATAAATTTTTTATATAATATACTTCTCTGACTGAGAGGGGTATACCTATTTATCGGACCCTGTGCTATGACTTTACTTACATAGACATTGCTTATCGGACTGTGATAGAGATATAGATGTATATGATTGTGGCATAGTTTTATTTATTAGTTTGTTTTTTTATGTTTTTTCCCTCCGAGAATTAAGTTGTGTATTTTATTTTAAGCGCAGTTTACTTATATATTTTTAGCCATTACATGATACCAGAGCTAAAACTAGCTGCTAACATGCCAATTATTGAAGGAGATTTTCGTGTTGAATGGCAAGTGTATAATTCACAATGACTGTTTATTTTATAGCGTATCCAACAATATGAGGAGTAATGGGTTTTATAACATTTGGAGCTTGTATATGACGTAGTTTCAGCTCAGAGAATTTGGCCTTTTCAAGGTCTTTCCAAGTTGTCTTCCTTAAATCACATCCATCAAGACACAACCTCCAGGTGGGATTCAAGATTCTCTGAAGATAGCTAACCAAGGTTGAGTCATCCGTGGATGCTACATGTTCCAAAAAGTAGAATGCTCCACCCTAGAATGAAAAGAACACTGTAGAATATACATTAATAGAATTACAATAGTTTACTATGCATAGTAAAGGACAAAGTTCAACAAGTGGTGCAATACAGACATTCCATTGGTTTCCATAGTTATCGCTCTATTTAGAGAGCTTTGTCCCACTTGCTGTTTAACCCCTTAAGGATCAACTTCTGTAATAAAAGGGAATCATGACATGTCACACATGTCATGTGTCCTTAAGGGGTTAAATATAACATTTAAAGTTACATCCCATATGTTAATATAGGACAAATGTTATGGATATTTATTTTTATTTCAAGTCCCAACAACCAAAGATTTTAATTAAATTTCCCAGATATACAGACCGTCACAAAACATTTAAAATCAAATTGGCATCTCTAAGTATCAAAACATTACTTTCATAATTATTATTACAGTTTTACCAGCTAGAAAGATGACTTTCAAGATAAAAAGCACTGTTAAAGGTAAGCCAACTTTGTATGCAGAGTATGGTAGGTCAGGACTCACCAGGGCTAAATTTTCACTCAAAACAAAAAAACATCAGATTCCGTACTCACACGAAAGGAGGATACAATAATTAGGTACGGAAAAAAAGTTTATGTCATGATACAGCCCTGGCCTCTCTGGCACTGAAAGTAGACCAGTTCAGACCAAGTATCGCCTTTTTTATTGAAGTCAAATTTGCTTGAGTCCTTGATATGACCTACGTATAATCTCATGCCAGCAACTTAAGCAGAACCCACTATGGACAATCTAGGCCTTTCTCTGATATTGCATTCATTTCTACAAGGCATGGATGCTAAATCAACACTGAAGAGGAATAAAGTATTTTACTAATAACTCAGGTTCTTCGGGTGTTATGAGTATTCCTCTCAAAAATGCATGGATGGATCCCTTTTTGTACATTCGAATATGTTCATACAGTAAATTAAATTATCTTATGATGACAAAAATCGTGATGATAATAAATTAATACACAGATTGTATCAGAGAAATATATAATGATTTTTATTTACAAATGAAAAAGTGAAGAGTTAATATCCATATCCTTCCTATCTGAAGCCAGGCAGGAGAGAGAATAAAAGATTATATTATTTAGTTTGCTGCCAAGATCCTGTTCAAACATTTTGGCAGCTGCCAAGTACGGCTGTGCCTGCACGCTAGAACTAAATTGGTATAAAAGCTCGTGGAAAAAATAATAATATTTTGCATTTACAGACTAGAAAGGAATGCAACAAGGTCACTTGTTATGTTTGGAATCCAGAATAAACAACAACATGAATAAACAAGCTGGGTCAGGATTCCAGAAATACACAAAGTCAAACACAAGCCAGGGTCAATTTCAAAATATAAAGAGTGACTTACTCTAAGCACTCAACGTGTATCAAGGCAAAAACCATACTAGGGAACTGAAAAAGGGCCCAAAGTAGTATTATATAGGTTACACATGTTTTAATTGGTCCATGTCATCTCTGCGAATCCAAAATAATTTATAAAGGGATCACCTGTATAAAGTAGTCACTTAAAGGGTGGGTGTGACGTCATGACATTCAAACTAATAAAATACAAGCATGCAGAGTCTGAGAAAAAGCAGTTGAAGCAACAGCTGTATTATATTCAGCCCATGAGAACCAGGAGGAGGATTGGTTCTCGGTGCCGAATGCTAAGTAATGTAATGCTATTTCCCTGTTTGGGTCCTGCGGCCATGTGTAGCGTTAGTGCGTGGTCCAACGAGAGGAGCAGCGGGTGCAAATGGATCAGGGAAGTGTGCTACATCTGATAGGCCTAGTTTAATTTTTTTTCATACCTTCATCTACCTCCATAAATCAGGTATCGAAGAATCTCACAACCATGCAATGGCGTACAAACCATGGTCGCAGCTGCGACCAGGCCCGTCACTCCTGTGGGCCCCTGCGACCAGGTATGAGCCGCCATGTTTTGCGGCCCTGGCCCATGGAGCAAACCACTGGGGCTGCCATTCAAGGGGTCCTGTGATGACATCAGAGAGAGCTGGAAAGTCACCCTCCTGCAAAAGGTAGGAAACAGGAAACATTTTGTATATGTGTGTGTGTCTCTGTATGTGTCTGTATGTATATATATGTGTCTATGTATGTGCGTGTTTGTAATTTTGGGGGGTGTGTGCTACCCCGGGGGTGTGTGTGTCTGTATGTATGTATGTGTCTGTCGGGGGGTGTTTGTGTGTGTATGTGTGTGTGTCAGTTTATGTGTATGCATGTCTGTAAGTGTCTCACGATCTCCAGCCAATCAGAGCATTGCCGCGGTTTACCACGGCAACGCTCTGAATGACGATCGCAAGACATTCACCATGTGGTCGGACAGACTGGAGAGTCCACTGGACCACCAGGGACACAGAAAGTCCACTGGACCACCGGGGAATCGTCAAAAAAAAAAAAAAAAAAGGTACATTTCAACCCCCCCGTCACCCCACTTACACTATGTCACCCCCCTCAACCTGTCACCCCACTAACACTATGTCCCCCCTCTTACTCTGTCACCCCACCTCTCAACCTGTCAACCACCCTCTAACTCCATGACCCCCTCTTACTCTGTCACCCACCCTGTGAACCCCCAGACTATGTTACCCCCTTACTCTGTCACCTCATCCTGTCACTTCCCACACACTACTATGTTACCCCCCCTCACCCTGGCACCCAACCTCACACCGTCACCCCCCCCTTACTCTGTCACCCTCCTCACACTGTCACCCTCCCTCTCACACTAATGTCACCTACCCCACACACTCTGTCACCTCTCTTCTCACACAGTCACCTCTCCCTGCACACACTGACACTCCCTCGATACACATTGTCACCCCCCTCTATACACATTGTCACTCGCTCTGCACACAAAGGCACCTCCCTTCATACACAGTCAACCCTCAAAACTCTGGCACCCCCATCCATACACTCTGGCACCCTCCTGCTCTTTTACACTCACCCTGCCACCCCCTGAAGGCAATCATTATACACACCGTCATAAAACATAGCTTCACCATAAACTCAGTGCCAAAGGCCACAGGCAGTACACAAACATACACATGCTCAGAGAAACATACATACAGATAAAAGGATACTCACTGCCAGACACACACCCTCAGACACACACAGGTAGACAATGCAACAATGCATACGGAGACTAGCTCTTTATATTCAGTGCTGCAAGCTCCCCCTTCAATATATCTACAGCTTCTTATACACACACACACACACACACAAAGTCAACTGCTATTCTTTTTAATAATGGTGTTAGTGGGGGCCTCATGTATGAGTTTCACCTAAGGCCTTGCCAAGTCTAGAGCCGCCACTGGTGGAGCGTATTATCCAGTTACATCCATACCTGTGAGTAGCAATAGTTGTTGCCCTCTGGTGTGGCTCTGATAACACCTCCACATTGCATCCAGTGTTTAAAGGGAAACTATAGTGCCAGTAAAACAAAGTTGTTTCCTGACAATATAGCTCCCTACAGTACCCCCCTCAATTCGCCCTCTACCAATGGTAAAAAACCCTTTTGTCAATTAACTGAGTCCAGCGCTGATGTTTCTCGGTACTCATTCAGACTTCTCCTCCGCTCCTCCAATGGATGCACTCAGATTAGTATTTCCCCCAAAGGAGAGTATGTATAATGATTTCCTATGTGGTTGTGGGTGACGCTGCATGTTGTCATGCATAGGGTAAGTATGTCCAGCTTCAGTTAGGCGTCCAAAAGTCACCTAACGACCCGGAAGTCCCTCTAGTAGCGGTCTGGTAGACAGCCATTTAGATAGAGGTGGAGTTAACCTTCAAATGTAATTATTGCAGTTTATAAAAACTGCAATAAATTACCTTTGCAGGGTTAAGTGACCTGGAACACTGCACCCAGACCACTTCAAAGAGCTGAAGTGGTCTGGATGCCTATAGTGTCCATTTAACGTTCTATTTATGGTTTATCTGTTACAGCACTCCACTGTCACTCAACACAACTCTCTCAGGTTAAAACTACCTTCAACTGAGGTTGGCCCAAGACACTCTGTTGCTTGGGTCCAAGAACAAAATACTGCCCATAACCTGCAAGCCAAAACTGTACTTCCTAAAAATAAATGACCATACAATGCCTTTTCCACATCCATTACAAAATAGAAGGAACATATCCTCTTACCTCCCAGTTCATATTTTATTGCTCCCACCGATTAAAGGACCATTCTAGGTCCCCAGACCACTTCAGCTTAATGAAGTGGTCTGGGTGCCTGGTCCTTCTAGGGTTAACCCATTTTTTTTATAAACGTGTGTGTGTGTGTGTGTGTGTGTGTGTACTATGTTTATGAATGGGTTAAGCCTTCCCCCTAATCCTCTAGTGGCTGTCTCATTGACAGCCACTAGAGGCGCTTGCGTGCTTCTCACTGTGATTTTCACAGTGAGAGCACGCAAGCGTCCGTAGGAAAGCATTGTAAATGGTTTCCTATGCGAGGGGCTGAATGCGCGCGCAGCTCTTGCCGCGCGTGCGCATTCAGCCCAGGAGGAGGAACGGAGGAGGATCGGAGGCAGAGAGCTCCCCGCCCAGCGCTGGAAAAAGGTAAGTTTTTACCCCTTTCCAGAGCCAGGCGGGAAGGGGACCACTATATGTTTTCCTGGCACTATAGTGGTCCTTTAATTGCAGTTGACCGATTCACCTATCCCAAATCATGGCCCAAAAGCTATAATGTTTCATTTTATTATTATATTTAATTACCCAGTATTCCCCCACCCCAATCTAAAATAATAGCATATGAATAACAGGATTATTACTAAACACCTGATTTTGTCCAAATGGAGAAAATTTGGTGAAAACAAGGAAAGTCTGACCGAATGAGTTTGTGAAATCACTAATACCTGCTTCCAAACCAATTTATCAGAGATACCAGAGCATGAAAACCAACGATAAACCAAATGCATTTGGCCAGATGCTCGTTCGCAAATTATCATTCACTTGATATTTGAAGTAGGCAAATTACTATGTAAAGACCAATCACTGTGGAAACCAGTAGATTTAAAAAAAAAAAAAAAAAAATTTGAACTTTTACCCAGAATTAGCTAGTTTAATTTTGATAAAGCTCCACCATATTTTGTGCAAAGGGAGCACAGGCCACATTCCATCTGTGTGCCACTATCCATCAAGTGCCAACTTCCAACAAGTGCCCTGAATCCTAGAAGTTTACCAAGGGAGTATAATCAACATTTACATTATCATCCACAAACTGTTGTGCTTGCTGCATTTATGTATGTGTTCTGTACCTAGCCATATGTGTAGTGTAAGTACTACTTCCTCAACATATATGGATTATTTGTAACCTATTTACATTTTTGTTTTCATCTCCTCCCCTCCTGTTGATGGCTCCAGATTAGTCTGTGTTAATATTCCTTGTAACCCTCTTCACACTTCTGTCATGTTCCCACCACCACCCTCTTAAGCAGGGCCGGCCTTAGGTGATCAGACACCCTGTGCGAGCCCAACATATGGCGCCCCCCCTTCAGCAAAACCCCTGCCCCTTCTACAATAGCCCTGTTCCAACTACTACAAAACCCTTCCACAAAACCCCTGCCCCCCTTTCTACAAAAACCCTGCCCCTTCTTCTACAAAGTTTTTTCTCCCCCTTTAACAAAAACACATGCTATCATTATATATATATATATATATATATATATATCTATCAACTATACAGCAATGTACACATAATATCAATAAAAAACTTCCCCCTCCACCAAAACCACTGCCACCCTCTACAAAAGCCCTGTACTCATTCTACATAAACCCCTGCTCCCCTTCTACAAAACCCCTGCTCCCCTTATACTAAACGCCTGCCCCCCTTATACTATGCCCCTGCTCCCCTTATACTAAACCCCTGCCCCTCTATAAACCCCTGCTCACCTTATACTAAACTCCTGCTCCCCTACAAACCCCTGCTCCCCTTCAAGCCCCTGCTCCCCTACAAACCCCTGCTCCCCTTATACTAAGCCCCTGCTCCCCTTATACTAAGCCCCTGCCCCCCTTATACTAAGCCCCTGCCCTTCTACAAACCCCTGCCCCTCTACAAACCCCTGCTCCTATACTGAACCCTGCCCCTTATACTAAGCTCCCTGCTCCCCTTATACTACAAGCCCCTGCCCCTATACTAAGCCCTCCCTGCCCCCTAGTACTTAACCCTGCCCCCTATACTAAACCCTGCCCCCTTATACTGTAAACCCTGCCCCCCCTATACTAAACCCCTGCCCCCTTATACTAAAACCCCTGCCCCCCTTATACTAAACCCTGCCCCCCTTATACTAAACCCTGCCCCCCTACAAACCCCTGCCCACCTTATACTAAACCCCTGCCCACCTTATACTAAACCCCTGCCCACCTTATACTAAACCCTGCCTCCCTACAAACCCCTGCTCTCTTATACTAAACTCCTGCCCCTCTACAAGCCCCTGCTCCCCTTATACTAAACTCCTGCCCCTCTACAAACCCCTGCTCCCCTTATACTAAACACCTGCCCCCTTTACAAACCCCCTGCTCCCCCTTCAACAAAACCCATCCCCCCCTCCACAAAATCTTTTCCCCTGCCACTTCACCAGAAATGCCTGCCCCCTCTTCTACAAAACCTCTCCTCTACACCAAAAACCCCTATCCCCTTTTTTACAAAACCTCTAACCCCTTCTATAAAACTTCTGCTCCTCCCTAAACCAAAACCCCTACCCCCTTCTACAAAACCCCTTGCCCAAACTCCCAGCTAGAAAACCTCTGCTCCCCCTTCTGCAGCCCCACACACACGCACACACACACACAAAAACAACAATCTATTTGATTTAAAAAAAATGGAAGCAATAGTTACAACAAGAATAAGCTTGCTGCTCCCTACAATTGCATTACTACCAAAGTAAGATTATGTCCAAATTCCTATTACTTGCCCTTGCAAATGAGGTAGAGTCTAACCTGCCCAGCAGATTCCATTCCTAGCCTTCCAGCTAAAAGATTCTCCTTTCTGCACTGTAATATCCGCAGCTTACTACCAAGAATTGAGGCACTGCAAGTATGGTGTTCACATTACAAGCCCCAAATCATTGTGCTCTCTGAATCGTGGCTAACCGCATACATACACCTGACTCTGCCATTGCAATACATTGGTATTCATGCCATAGAAATGACAGAGCAAAAAAGAGGAGATGGCATTATAATGTATGTTTATAATTCCATAAAGTTTACCCCCTTACAAAACTTTAGCTCTCCTGCCATCTTTGATTTCCTTTCTGGCCCAATTGAGATCCCATGTAGTAAATCAATCATTGTTGCAGGAATATATCGCCCACCTAGCTCCCCAGTGCATTCCCTTTCTGACATAGCCCATCTCCTTAGTGAATCCATAGCTCAAAACGTAAACTGTTGATCTTTGGAGATTTTAAAATGAACTGGCTGAATCCTTAAAATAGTTCTTGCTCACCGTTTAAGAATTTGCAGCTAAAACAATGAATATCCTCCCCAACTTGCATAAACATTAACTTGCTCGATTGGATTTTCTCCACTTCTCCTGATAAAATCCAGGAGGCAGGTGTTCTCCCTAACAGTTTCAGTGACCAATGCTTAGTGTACTGTGTGTGCAAAATAAAAATACTAAACCAAGGTTAAAATCACCAGAACCTTAATTTTTTTTTTATTTCGAATCCTTTCTAAATGACATCACAAACCTCCCATGTCACAGATTAAAGGACCACTCTAGGCACCCAGACCACTTCAGCTTAATGAAGTGGTCTGGGTGCCAGGTCCAGCTAGGGTTAACCCATTTTTTAATAAACATAGCAGTTTCACAGAAACTGCTATGTTTAAGAATGGGTTAAGCCTTCCCCCTAATCCTCTAGTGGCTGTCTCATTGACAGCCACTAGAGGCGCTTGCGTGCTTCTCACTGTGATTTTCACAGTGAGAGCATGCCAGCATCCATAGGAAAGCATTGTAAATGCTTTCCTATGCGACCCGCTGAACGCGCGCGCAGCTCTTGCCGCGTGTGCTCATTCAGCCAACGGGGCGGAACGGAGGAGGAGAGAAGGAGGAGAGCTCCCCGCCCAGCGCTGGAAAAAGGTAAGATTGAACCCCTTTCCCCCTTCCAGAGCCGGGTGGGAGGGGGACCCTGAGGGTGGGGGCACCCTCAGGGCACTATAGTGCCAGGAAAACGAGTATGTTTTCCTGGCACTATAGTGGTCCTTTAAACCTTATCCCATATCTAGACTGTGCAGTTGAATTATTTCAGTCTGAACTCCTACAAGTTTGGAATTTGCATGCCCTGCTGCGTAAGATAAGAGTAAAAAGGGTACATATGAATTGGATCACAGCTGACCTCATCCAAATGTACCAGTTTCAGGATTCATTGTGGTCAAAGTTCAAGGGTACTGGCTCTATGAACGATCACTGTGCATATAGACAATGGCGAAATATATGCACAAAACAAACAAAATCTGAACAATAACATATCAAACCCTAGAAACTTTTTGAAAGTCATAAATAAACTACAAACTCCCCCAATCCACTCCCAACCCTCCACTGTCAAAGTGGATAACCAAACCCAGCAACTTCACTTAGATATAGCAGATGCTTTGAACAATTATTTTGTCGGATGCTCCACCACCCTGATTGCCAAGCTAATAAATGACACACATTCTGAAACTACAAATGTGTATCAGGCCCCAATAAATTTGCAAAGACCCAATATAGAAATGTTTAGTTTTAGACCTGTACCTTTTAGGGTCATTAAGAAACACCTTAATAAAGTAAAAATGAAAAAAAAACAGTCTGGACCTGTTCAAATGCTGTTGAAGCTCAGTGTGCTGGCAATTGCTAAACATGTCATAACCCTAATTAATGAATCCTTGGTGTCTGGATACATGCCCAAACTTTGGAAGACTGTGAGAGTAGTGCCTATCCATAAAAGTGGAGACACTACTTTGGTTTCGAACTATCGCCCAATATCATTGCTCCCAGTATTGTCAAAAATCTTAGAAAAATGCGTCCATAAGCAACTATGTCAGTATTACCAACAATCTAACTATCTGAGCAGTTAGTTGTCTGCAGACGTCTGTGTGTCAGGCTCGCAGCGTATACTGTGCCCACTTGCCCAGTGCCACCACTCACTCACTGGTGTCACAATAGCTTGCATTTAAAAACCAAAAAACTTTTTTCACTGTTATAGATTGAATAGCAGTTAGTTGTCTTCAAGCGGGTGTGTCAGGCCTACAGCGTGTACTCTGCCAACCTCTGCCAGTTCACAGTGCCACTCATATCTGTTGTCACAGTAGCTTGCACGCATAGTACCACTAATCAAAAAAAAATGACAGGCAGAGGCAGGCCACCCCTATACTGCGCATTGGGTAAACCTGCTGACGGCTGCCAAGCATGGAATGCGTGGCTCAGCAGAGGAGTTGGTGACACCGCCACGACTTGCAGGCAGGCCTGCTGCCACCTCCTCTACTGATCCTACTCCATCCTCTTCCATAACCTCCTCGGCTGAGTCCTCTTCTGCTGCTGCGTCTTGCTCCACATCAACGGATAGGGGACGTAACAGGGATTAAACTGATAAGAACAGTACTACTTAACACACCACTCCTATCTGGTGGCACATTAGATTGCATGCGCAGTGCCCCAAATTTGAAGTAGGAGGACCGGCCAAGCATCTTTTTCCATCTCCCAGTTCCTAAAATCGATACCATATACACGTCCCCTGATAGGGGACGTAACAGGGATTAAACTGATAGGAATAATACTACTTAACACACCTTATAATAACGCAGAGAGAGGCAACGCAGAGAGAGGAGTCTGAAGAAGAGGAGTCAGACGAGGAAGGTGGCTTTGAGGTGGTGGAAGACCAAACACAGCAGGCGTCCCAGGGGGCTTGTTGTCACCTTTCGGGGACCCTTGGTGTTGTACGTGGCTGGGTGGAGGAAGAGACCTTCAATGACATCAGTGAGGACAAGGAACGGGACATGGCTAGCTTGGTATCCAACCTTGTGCAAATGGGGAGTTTGCGGTTGTGCAAATGGACTGTTTGCGGTTGTTTGCGGTGCGTTAAACAGGGAGTTTGGTCTGTCACTGTGAAGTGGGCGTAACCCTTACACTACCTGATCGATACAACATCATACAGTAGGTCCCCCCCTCATTATTTTTATGGCCCCCACCCACCGCTCACGGGTGGGGGCGGGCGGGAGGACAGTAGGTCCCCCCCCATTGAGATTTATGGCCCCCACCCACCGTGCAGGGGTGGGGGCCGGGGGGGAGGACAGTAGGTCCCCCCTTATCCTTATTTACTGAATATTCCCCTGTATAACAATGTTTGGCATTTAGTGAATATTCCCTATTCTGCTCTGTGTCAGTGTGTATCAGGGATCCTTAGGACAGGTGTCAATCCATATCTGCCAAGTGACCCTATGTAGGAGGAACAGTCCCTATTCTGCTCTGTGTCAGTGTGTATCAGGGATCCTGAGGACAGGTGTCAATCCATATCTGCCAAGTGACCCTATGTAGGGGGAACAGTCTCTATTCTGCTCTGTGTCAGTGTGTATCATGGTCTCTGAGGACAGGTGTCAATCCATATCTGCCAAGTGACCCTATGTAGGAGGAACAGTCCCTATTCTGCTCTGTGTCAGTGTGTATCAGGGATCCCTAGGACAGGTGTCAATCCATATCTGCCAAGTGACCCTATGTAGGGGGAACAGTCTCTATTCTGCTCTGTGTCAGTGTGTATCATGGTCTCTGAGGACAGGTGTCAATCCATATCTGCCAAGTGACCCTATGTAGGGGGAACAGTCCCTATTCTGCTCTGTGTATCAGGGATCCTGAGGATAGGTGTCAATCCATACCTGCCAAGTGACCCTATGTAGGGGGAACAGTCCCTATTCTACTCTGTGTCAGTGTGTATCAGGGTCTCTGAGGACAGGTGTGAATCCATATGTCAAGGTGTCAATATGTCATATGTCAGGTGTCAATCCATATCCATTGTGATTTAGGAATGTTAGGTGATTTATGCCCTTTATGGATTAAGACCAGACTCTGCATCAACTGTGTAATTTTCTATGGGAGTTTTGCCATGGATCCCCCTCCGGCATGCCACAGTCCAGGTGTTAGTCCCCTTGAAACAACTTTTCCATCACTATTGTGGCCAGAAAGAGTCCCTGTGTGTTTTAAAATGCGCCTGCCCATTGAAGTCTATGGCGGTTCGCCCGGTTTGCGAACATTTGCGGAAGTTCGCGTTCGCTGTTCACGAACAGAAAATTTCGTGTTCGCGACATCACTATCCAGTACCAGCACTTTATTTAGTCTACCTCAATACAAAAAGGAAAGTGGCCGATCCTCCTTTTCCTACAGAGCACCGCAATTATGGAACGACTTCCCGTACACTTTCAAATCTACCCCAAGCCTAAAGTCCTTTAAGAGATCCCTCTCTACATACCTCAAAACAGAGTTCACCTGTCATGGTTGATTATATATTTCCTACCTGTTCTATGTTAAAGTTTTGTATTTATTGTGTATTAATATTGTTTTTGTATTTTATTGTACCCTATTGTATCAAAGCAATGTTTTGTGGACCCGGGACGAAAATGAGAAAATCTCAATGTATCTTTCCTGGTATATATATTTTATAAATAACTAAATAAATAATTAAAAGGCAGTGTGAGCAATGCATGTGGGCAATTTAGGTAATATGTAAATTCTGTGGTCAATTTGTTTAATATGTTAATGCTATGAAAAGGATAGCTCTCATGGTCTTCTTCTCTACCTCAAGCTTTCCCTATCTGTCTTCCCAAATCTCTCCCTGTCTTTTTTCCGCTGTTCCTCTTTCTTGCCTTCCCTCAACACCACCCTACCTTTCTGGGCCTCAGAGAAACCGTATATAGAATGCAGCATGTAGGCCAGAAAATGCTAGTACCATATTGGTGGCTGATTTAAGCAGCAATATCAAAAAGGGATGGCATTTTTAACCCTATTTAGGGCGAAAAGTCCACTGGGCCCAATTCACTACAGGTAGAGTGGAAAAATGCTGCCCTACCTCGGTCACCTGGTTCCCAAGTAGCCATGAGAACCCCACACAGACTTTATCTTCATCTAAGGGCCTTACTATGGAGTGTTATATAAGTCTTAAATACTAGAGACATTTACAATTTAACCGATTACAGTCTCAAAGTGAAATTATTGCTTTCTGCAAGTAAGATGGATAATAAAGAAAATACAAAAATGATTCCTTAACTCCTTGTCTTTATAACATTCCATGCAGCTTGTATTCTCCTGCTGGGGAGATGCAGATACCTATCAATATCTGACCCATCAGATGAGTGTATCGCTCAAGTGAAAGCTGGTGTCATAGGGGCAGAATAGATGCAGTTCCACATTCTATAACACTCCTAGTAACATAACTGATGGCAGCCTCTTGACCAAAAAGATATTGACAGCTTGTAAACAAATATTTATCTCCTCTATTGCTTCCTGGTAACAAATATACTAAAATACTGTTCCTACCTATCTTTTATCCATTTACAACATGGGTTGCCAACCTGGTCCCTACCGCCCACCAGTGGGCGTTTTGGGATTCCAGGTGGGTGGTAGCAGAATCCTCTCTCCATCTAGAGAGATGAACACTTTATTCATCTCTCGTGCACTCAGTGGTAAGCAGGAAGTGCGAGGTTGCAGATGGGAGTGCATGAAAGCGCGAGCGTGTGTGCCTGAATGCGCATGTGCGCCCATATCGCACAGGCGTATGCACGTTCGAATGCGTGTGCTCGTGAACGAGTGTAACACACGGGTAGGGGAAGGAGAGGAGTTGGAGTAGGTAGGGGGATACACGATAGCAGGGAGTGGAGTACTTTGAAAATAGGAGAGAGAAGGAGCAGAGCACTTGTAGAATAGGAGAGAGAAGGAGCAGAGTATTTGTAGAATAGGAGATAGAAGGAGCAGAGTATTTGTAGAATAGGAGATAGAAGGAGCAGAGTATTTGTAGAATAGGAGATAGAAGGAGCAGAGTATTTGTAGAATAGGAGATAGAAGGAGCAGAGTACTTGTAAAAAGGAGAAAGAAGGAGTAGAGCATTTGTAAAATAGGAGAAAGAAGGAAAATAAAAAATATAAAAAGGAATAGGAGAGAATTGTTCTTGGCTAATAATAATAATAATAATAATAATAATAAGTGGGCTACCTAGCTCAGCCTTCCTGCTGGGCATTGCTATAAGGAAGGTAAAAAAAATATAAAAAAGGGAAAAAAAAGTGGGGAGGGAGCAGAGGGTAGCTGATGCACAGATGAGAAATCATATTATGAGCAAACAGATAAATCGTCTAAATATCAGCATAAGAGGAGACCTCTGTTTGTTCCTTACGAAAATCAAACCGGATATCAAATATTTAGTCTCGCAGTATAAGCCTCGAGGATCTCATTAATCACTAGTTAAAGGTAATTTCAATTTACTTTGTTTTCTTTATAAAGTTAAAAACATTGTAAACATGCATAAAGTTGAAATAAAAAGATGTACGTACATTTAAAAAAAAAAAAAAAACATCCTTATTCTAAAAATTATTCAGCACTTGCGCGAAAACTGGTGGGCGGTAAGGAAATGTTTCTATCAAGAAAGATGCATTAGTGGGCGGTAGATAGAAAAAGGTTGACTACCCCTGATTTACAGCGTTCATGTTAAATGGACAGTGTGCAACTAAGCAAATAACATACAAAGCTAAAAAAGTTCTTGAAATACAAATTTTATCTGTTATTACACCACAGTACGGGGCAGGTGAACTTGCATTTTAATCTCCTACTATTTAAATGGGCATTGGGATAGGGTGCAGGTAACTTTTTGTACTATGTATTTGGGTTAATGAATAATACTATAGCCATTGCTGCTGCCCAAGAGCAGTGGCAGATCTGGGGGGGGGGGGCAACGGGGCAATTGCCCCCCCCATACACACACTACAGACACTGCCCCCCATAGACACACACACACACACACTGCCCTCACATACACTGCCCTCTAACACACACACTGCCACCCTCACACAGACACACACTGCACCTTTCACACACACTTCACCCCTAACACCAATACCACTGCTCCTATGCCCTATATCCCAGCAGACCCCAGGTAAGTTGTAAAACTGTTATTAACCCCTTAAGGACACATGACGTGTGACATGTCATGATTCCCTTTTATTCCAGAAGTTTGGTCCTTAAGGGGTGAAACGGTTTGACTACTTACTCTAGGATGGAATCCTGGCACTACGGGGCACCATAACAACTACACTGAGCTGTAGTGGTTATAGTGCCTGGATTATTTCTTTAAATAATCTACAAGTGCCCCTCTCGAGATCAGGCTCTGGATCCGCCACTGCCCAAGAGTAGTGGGAGTTTAAGTACTGGTCTTCGTTTTGTGTGTTTATATTTGATTACAGAGATATGGCAGTCAACTATTTTGGGGAACATATTATGAATATATATATATATATATATATATATGATTAATATGTGCTTGATTAAGTCTGTGTGTATCGGAGATTGGGAATTATCTTCTAAGGAAGTTTCTGTTTAGATAGTTGGAAAGATACAGCACCTGAAAGGCACCAATCACATTTACATATCAACTGGTCTTCAAAGGAGTCTCTATCTAAGAAAACACACCTTAGGTTAGAGGCAAAGGAATGGCTGGGAGAGTTTACACTTAAATAAAATAACAGGATAGACAACACTTTGGGCCTTGGGAAAATAAGTCACATTTACATATCAATTGAGCTGAGGAATTTGCTATTTACAACATGGGAACCAATTCCTTTAAAAATAGAAGATACTCACATCACATTAGACTAGGTTGGTAAGACACACACACACACACACACACACACACACACACACACACACACTCTGCACATAACATCTGACAGCACATACACAATGTAGCAGATATCATCAGATAGGTGGAATGTGTGAGTGTTATAAAAGGTATTGTAACTCTGTAATACTATAACTTTGTAACATTCTTCTTCTGTAATATTTAACTGGACAGATTCTAAGTAAAGATTTCTCTCTGGTAAGAACTATGGTGTTGGCTGTTTATTTGTAATATCGTGTAGAATACCTTAATAGTGCTAGTCATATATATATATATATATATATATATATATATATATATCTGGATGAGGGGATAAAGATATATGTTAGTTCTTGGAATAGGTGACACAGAGATATTACATTCACTATTAATACACAACACAGAGTGGATTTCTCTCAAAAGGATACCAATTGGAAGTATTGGTGGTGAGAGAAGAATTATACAACAAACTACTGGGAAGGATCAGAGCTACAATTTTTAGTTTGCAGATGAAAGAGGCCATCAGCCTTTCAACAGCACCAAGCACAGATATAGCCACAGTTACAACAAATAATGTACAACTTACAGGCTTGAGAACTCTCCACACCTCGTCCAGCACCTTTGGGGTGTTTGGTACTGAACACACTAACAGGGTGCAGACCACCACATCCATAGAGGCATCGGGCACTGGGGTCATGTTGTCTGCAGAAGCCACCACAAAACCTTCAAACTTCAGATGGTCACTTTCTGTTTGGCTTTTGCTCAAATATGATTGGAAATTTGGGTTCAGGTCGAGGCAGGTTATTTTGCAGCCATTTGGGTAGAATTTGAAGTTGGCCCCTGTGCCGCAGCCGATTTCTAGCAGATTGATCTCCTTCGAAGCATTTTCAAAGTAAGAAAGGTTGCTGAAGAGATCCCTTTTAATTCCCTCCATAGATTTATTATACATTTCAGTTAATCTGAATAGAAGAGCAGGGAATAATTTCTTAATGATTTTATCCCAAATTCCTATAAAGTTAAGTACATAAATAGGAAATGCGAGAAGGTATAGGATCAGCTGGAAGGTTAAAATAAAGAGCGACATGGTTTGGAGACCAAGATGACTTGTGCTTTCAGCAATTAGTCTGACTGGTTACTGATCTGCTGGCAGCTTTGGAATCCTAAACACATCTCTGTGTAGGATACGCCCACAGTTTAACCAATACGACAGCTGAATAACTGTTAGAGTCCCAGAGTGCTAAAAGATAAAAAAAAAAAAAAAAAAAATACAGTGCTTCTTTGTGTGTAGAATGTGTTTATGTTAAAAGACTACATTTAAGTTAAAATGTCCAGTAACAGAAGTCAACATTTCCAGACTGTATATAAACAAGTAACCCTCTGTTGACTCTAGTTGCATTAAAACTGTCTATTTAATTACAGTTTTCTTCCAAAACAGGTGCTTTTATTTAGCTTTGATATATTGATAGCTTGTTTAACACTTTAGTGAAACAAAAAATGAAACAAAAATGTGTTCACCCGCAAATTCCATCTTTCTCATTTACTAATATATATATATAATATACCGATTTCTAAAGGACAAAAAATGGCTTTAAAGTAGCACTGTCATGCCGAACTTACTTTTCCTTAATTGATTCCTCTTCTCTCTCTCTCTCAGGGTCTGTTCTTCATTTCTTCCTGTTTGCTCTAGTTTTCTTTAAAACATAAAACACAGTAGGGACTACTTTGTCTTGTGCAGGTTTCCTACGCTTGACCAGCTTTGACCAGCGGAGGAACAAAGTGTGCTCCGTTTCCTGTGGTCAAAGCAATTTTCCCACAATTCTTACCTTTCCTCCATAATCTCTCAATGCTTCCTCTCAGTATTCCCTAACGTCCTGTCCATTTAGACAGAACGCCAGCAAAACTACCGAATTTCATCCTAACAGAATGAGAACAGTTTCTCCACTCGTGTTAGGATGCAATTCGGGACTTTGTTTGAAATTCCGATCCGATAGCGGCTGCATCTTGCAGCCGCTTAGTAGATAGCTCTCTAATTCCCGTGGTATTAGGGAACTATCTACCAAAAGGTTGAAAGACCTAAATTGTTCTATCAGCCAAATTTACTAATACTAAATAAAAATTACTTAGTATTAGCAAATAATGCCACTACTTGCGAGTAGGGGCATGTCTAGTAAACAGTGAGAAGCCTGTGGCTCCTCACTGTTAAAAAACCCCCCAAAAACCTATTATCCCCCATCTGTGCCTTGCGAGTGGGTGCTATTAAACTGAATGGGGGACCTATTGCCCCCCAGCCCCCGGCACCCAACCCTAAGCGGCGGGTTGGTGCCCTAAATAACAATAAGGGGGGCACCTATTGTGTCCTCCCCAGCCCCTACCCATGAGTGGCAGGTTGGGGCCCTAAATGAAAATGGGTGGGGACCTATTGTCCTCCCCCCGGCCCCCACCAATGAGGGGGCCCTAAATGAAAACGGGGGGGACCTATTGTCCTCCCCATGGCTCCCATCCATGAGCGGCGGGTACGGGCCCTAAATTATAATAAGGGGGGAACTGTTGTCCTCCCCCCGGCTCCCACCACTGAGTGGCGGGTGGGGGCCCTAAACGAAATGTGGGGAGGGACCTATTGTTCTCCCCCCCAGTCCCCAACCCTGTGCGGCTCACATGCAGACACAGACAATCTCACTGACACAAGCTGATTGATACACAGCCTCATAGACAAACAATCTCACTGATATACATAAGGTCATTGACATAAAAACACAAGCTCACTCAGTAGCAGGCACACACACACGCGCGCGCACACACACACACGCGCGCGCGCACACACACACAGCTTAATGTAGTGGTTCTGGGGTCTATAGCCTGTCCCTGCAGACTTTTCAATGTAAACACTGACTTTTTAGAGAAAAGGCAGTGTTTACATTGCTTCCTAGTGACAGACACTCAGACGGTCACTAGAGGTGCTTCCTGTGTCAGTGTGGATTGGCTAAGATCATCAAGCTTGATGATCTCAGCCATAGAGGCAGGGTCAGTCGAGGGGAGACCAGCACGACGTGGCAGGGGAAAAGGTGAGTAAAAACACTCATACCATGACAGACACACACCATGACACAGACAGACCGTGACACAGACACACACACACACCGTGACACAGACAGAAACAAAGACACACCATGACAAAAACAGACACACACCATGACAGACACACACACACATACCATGACAGAAACACACCATAACACAGACAGACTGTGACACAAACACACACTGTGACACAGACACACATTACATGACACACAGACACCATGACACAGAGAGACCGTGACACAGACACACACACCGTGACACAGACAGACACACACCATGACAAACACACACCATGACACAGACAGACACACATTACATGACAGACACACACACACACAATGACACAGACACACATTGCATGACACAGACACACACCATGATGGACAGAGACACACACACACACACCATGACATGGACAGACACACACACACCATGACACAGAGAGACACACCATGACAGAGACACAGACACACAATGACACAGACAGACACACACATTGACACAGACAGACACACACACCATGTCACAGACAGACACACACACCATGACAGACAGAGACACACACAATGTCACAGACAGACACACACACCATGACAGACAGAGACACACACACACACACAATGACACAGACAGACACACACAATGACACAGACAGACACACACACAATGACACAGACACACATACACTCACACTGACACACATAATTTCTACCTTTGTGCTGGCGGCCGCATGGGGGAGCTGAGTCTTCTGGTGGCCGCTGGGGGAGCTGGCTGTTCTGTCTCTGCTCCCCCTCCCCAGCGCGCCGCCTAATGAGACCGCGGCTGGAATATGACGTCATATTCCAGCCCCGGTCTCTTTGTAGTGCGCTGGGGAGGGGGAGCAGTGACAGAACAGCCAGCTCCCCCTGCGGCCGCCAGAAGAGCTCCCTCTGTGGCCGCAGGTGACCAGCTGCCTGCCCGGCCCCAGGTGCCGACGGCCCACCGGGAAATTTCCCGGTATCCCGGTGGGCCAGTCCGGCCCTGAGTGGAGTCATGAGAGAGGGTAAAAAAAAACAAAAAACTGGATTTGACCATGACAGTGCAGTTTTAAAGTTTCCCTGCCAGGCCTTATGATGTGGTGTCCAGAATAAAGTGGAGGGTTCACTTCACTTGTCCTTCCTGCTCCAATCTCCTTTTCTTCTCCTTTATTTGACACAGTCTTCTTTTTATTCTGACACTGTCTTCTCTCCTCCTTAGCTCCTTTACCTTTCCGCTTATTTTGTGCGGGTGGGGGCCCTAAACGAAATGTGGGGAGGGACCTATTGTTCTCCCCCCCAGTCCCCAACCCTGTGCGGCTCACATGCAGACACAGACAATCTCACTGACACAAGCTGATTGATACACAGCCTCATAGACAAACAATCTCACTGATATACATAAGGTCATTGACATAAAAACACAAGCTCACTCAGTAGCAGGCGCGCACACACACACACAGCTTAATGTAGTGGTTCTGGTGTCTATAGCCTGTCCCTGCAGACTTTTCAATGTAAACACTGACTTTTTAGAGAAAAGGCAGTGTTTACATTGCTTCCTAGTGACAGACACTCAGACGGTCACTAGAGGTGCTTCCTGTGTCAGTGTGGATTGGCTAAGATCATAAAGCTTGATGATCTCAGCCATAGAGGCAGGGTCAATCGAGGGGAGACCAGCACGACGTGGCAGGGGAAAAGGTGAGTAAAAACACTCATACCATGACAGACACACACCATGACACAGACAGACCGTGACACAGACACACACACACACCGTGACACAGACAGAAACAAAGACACACCATGACAAAAACAGACACACACCATGACAGACACACACACACATACCATGACAGAAACACACCATAACACAGACAGACTGTGACACAAACACACACTGTGACACAGACACACATTACATGACACACAGACACCATGACACAGAGAGACCGTGACACAGACACACACACCGTGACACAGACAGACACACACCATGACAAACACACACCATGACACAGACAGACACACATTACATGACAGACACACACACACACAATGACACAGACACACATTGCATGACACAGACACACACCATGATGGACAGAGACACACACACACACACCATGACATGGACAGACACACACACACCATGACACAGAGAGACACACCATGACAGAGACACAGACACACAATGACACAGACAGACACACACATTGACACAGACAGACACACACACCATGTCACAGACAGACACACACACCATGACAGACAGAGACACACACAATGTCACAGACAGACACACACACCATGACAGACAGAGACACACACACACACACAATGACACAGACAGACACACACAATGACACAGACAGACACACACACAATGACACAGACACACATACACTCACACTGACACACATAATTTCTACCTTTGTGCTGGCGGCCGCATGGGGGAGCTGAGTCTTCTGGTGGCCGCTGGGGGAGCTGGCTGTTCTGTCTCTGCTCCCCCTCCCCAGCGCGCCGCCTAATGAGACCGCGGCTGGAATATGACGTCATATTCCAGCCCCGGTCTCTTTGTAGTGCGCTGGGGAGGGGGAGCAGTGACAGAACAGCCAGCTCCCCCTGCGGCCGCCAGAAGAGCTCCCTCTGTGGCCGCAGGTGACCAGCTGCCTGCCCGGCCCCAGGTGCCGACGGCCCACCGGGAAATTTCCCGGTATCCCGGTGGGCCAGTCCGGCCCTGAGTGGAGTCATGAGAGAGGGTAAAAAAAAACAAAAAACTGGATTTGACCATGACAGTGCAGTTTTAAAGTTTCCCTGCCAGGCCTTATGATGTGGTGTCCAGAATAAAGTGGAGGGTTCACTTCACTTGTCCTTCCTGCTCCAATCTCCTTTTCTTCTCCTTTATTTGACACAGTCTTCTTCTTATTCTGACACTGTCTTCTCTCCTCCTTAGCTCCTTTACCTTTCCGCTTATTTTGTGCCCTTCTGCTCCTTTCTCTTTCTGATCCCTTTCTGCTCTTTGCATGACCTTTCTTTTCTTTCTCCTACTTTACCTTTGTGCTCCTTCTGATTCTTTCTGCTCTTTT